GAGAGAAGAGAGAAGCCGGAGAAAAGCTGCAAGGACAGAGAACGCCGATGCCCACAGTCCCGGAGTACTCTGTCCCCAGCAGGCGTGGGGCCCCGGCTTCTCTCCCCTGCTGGGCACTAGGCAGGCCCCGCTCTAGGTTTTTTGCCACCCCAAACAAAAAAAGTTTTGGCTGCCCCTTACCCCAGCCCTGGGCTCTCTTTCTCCCCCCCCCCCCCCCCCCCAAGTTCTCTCCGGCTTAAGCCGCGGCGCCGCGCCTGCCTGGGACCGAGAACACCGGCGCCTGCAGTCCCGGTGGGCACGGGGCCGCAGCTTCTCTCCCTAGTGCTGGGCACTAGGCGGGCGCACATAAATGCCCCGGCGGGCCCCATGGCGCCCGCAGGCATCACATTGGGGACCACTGGGCTAGACAATAGGAACTGCTCATTCCTGGCTGTAGGCGTTTTTTCCAGGGAGCTCACAATGCATTTAGGCAGCTTCAGTATTTTGGACACCAATAAAGGATTTATTACTAGAATTGGTCTGATCATGCCTGCACACACCCAGCTCAGTAGTTAAACATCTGGAGCAGAGATCCCCCATCCTGCAGTGCTTCCCTGCTTTTCTGGTCCCAGATTTCAGTGCGGTTCTTGCCTTGGAATCTCTGTTCTCCATTCTGTATGCTAAAGGAGATGCCTCCCTGTCCCATCTTTGATGCAGTTGAGGCTAGGGGAGTTGCCTTAATCCTGTCACCCTTGTCCGGAGGGGTTGAGGTGCGTCTCCCACGGCCTTTTCATTGCTTTCTGTAAGTCTTTCTTCTGATCGGTTTTGGTTCAAGCAGAGGTGGCGGGGGGGGGGGGGGAATCTTTCATGAGTCAGACAGGCTGGATACACAGAGCTGACAGGTAACAAGGGCATCTGCAAAATTTCAATTCAGAGTTGTCCCATCAGTTTATAGACTTGTTCTCTTCCCCCCCCCTTTTATAATTGTTACTAGTAAATTGCATACTGATGAACAGAGTATGTACCAGTTATCTGAAATGTGCTTTGGTATTTCAGTGAATAATATGGCAGCAGGAGTGATCGTGTGCATCATCTGTGCAAACACTGCTGTAGCATGTTATGGAATTGAGTTCTGAAGTGGAGCTGATTTTAGCTGGTTTCAGCATTCCATATTTTGGCTGGCAGGCACTGTGATTGTCAGACTGTGGTTTGAAAATCCTTTTTGTATTTTAAATAGGATATTATATAATTTTAATGTTATGACATCCTATTCATTTTTAGAAATGACTAGTTTTTCTTGGAACAGAACTGAAGACTTAATGTTTGACCCTGGAGGAGTTGTTTATCAACTTGAAGACCAAAGCTGTGTACCCAGCTGAGAAACCATGATTTTAGAAGCCCAGTAATTTGACAGCCATGGAAGTTAAGAGACAGAAAAGGCCTTTCTAGGTCATTTGTCTGCAATGGAGGATTGCTTTGTAGGTATCATCTGTCATAAACCTCTAAGCACAGAAATGTGGCCTCTCCTAATGCAAAATATTTTAAAAAGAGGGTGCTGTAACAAAGGGTATTCTTACACGGGTGGGGAGGTATCCTGCTGAGATTTGTTGCCTTCTGACCAACTTTTGTTGTTGTTTGTTCATGAGTCAAGAAACAAGAACTCAATTATCTATTGAGAGGTCATTGTTTAGTACTGAATATTCAATATTGGCTTCTAGTTTTGGTACATTTTCAAGCAAAACAGAGAATATTCCTTTCCTTAAACTTTCCCCAGGCTCACTTGAGCCTCCACAAAAGAACCTAAGGGAGAGCCAACCTCACAGTTGGAAAAAAGAAAATGCAAGGGGTAATGATACTTGAGTTAATTAAATAAGACAAATCTTAATTTTTCTAGAATGACAAAAATGCCACCTGAACACTTTTGCTTCTTTCTCTTCCTACTGGTTATGTAATAGTCTATTATATAATCTTTTTTCATATTGGTAATCCTTTTTGGTTACTGGAAATCAGACTGCTAATACAGATAAGTAAACTCAGGCAGTGTCTACACTACAGAGTTTTGTCGACGAAAGTTATGCCGCTTTAATTAAAGCACTTTAATTAAACCTCTGATGTCCACATTATGCTCCTTGTGTCGGCAGAGCACATCCACATTAGCAGCTCTAGAATTGACACAGAGCAGTACACTGTGGGTAGCTACCCCACTGTGCCACTGGCCACAGGGTGTTTTGGGAAGGGTTTGCAATGCCTCTTGGGGCAGGTACAGTGTCACACAATGCAGGTTTCTCAAGCCTATCGTTCTATGGGCATCCTACTAGATCGCCAGCCGCTTTTCAACTGAAGTGGGTGGGGAAGTGTGTGTGTGTGTGTGTGTGTGTGTGTGTGTGTGTGAGGGGGGAGTGTGTGTGACAGGCACTGTGTATGTGTGGGGGAGACAGAAACAGTGTGTGTTGGGGGAGTGTGTGTCGGTATGCTGTCTCTCAAAGTTCAGACAGCAGCCTGAGCAACCAATTCTGAGGCAGGGGAAGGGGTCATCTTCCCCCCCCGCCCCAAGTTCCCTGTAAGCTGTGCAGCAGCCTATTTAGCGCTGCACAGATGCACAGGGAACCCGTCTGGGCGGGGATCTGCCACGGCCGGAGGAGGGGTGCCCCTTCCCCGGCTCCCAACTCAGCCTGCAGCCCAGACCTGCTGTGGCCGGATCGGGCCCAGCCCCAGAGAGATGCCTATCCTGCTGGGGCCGGGGGAGGGGCGCCTATTCTGCAGCCCCAGAACTCCTGCGGCAGGGAGAGGCACCTTTCCCCGCCAGCCCAGGTGCTGCTGCTGGGAGAGAGTGCTGGGGAGAGTTCTCTCTCCCCGCTGTAGCCCCAGAGCACCCTCCTGCACCCCAAATCCCTCAGCCCCACCCCAGAGCCCGCACCCCCAGCTGGAGCACTCACCCCCTGCACCCCAACCCTCTGCCCCAGCCCCTCATCCCTGGCTCCACCCCAGAGCCCGCACCCCCAGCCCTGAGCTCCCTCCCGCACTCCAAACCCTCAGCCCTACCTCCACCACATTAATTTTGTTATGTGCAAAATTCATTCCGCATGCACATGGGTGGGAAAAATTAGAGGGAACACTGTACTCCCCCTGTCCACATCAGCCCCCAACTCTGCTACAGCACAGCAGTCCCCTCCCCCCCCCCACCGCCGCAGCAGCAGCCCACTCTGCCTGCTGCTGTGTTCCTAGTGCTGGGGAGAGCAGGTTTCCACATTAATGGTTCTGTGATTCCCTTAGAGTTCTCCCACAGCCTCCACGGATACCAGGAGCAGCATCCTCAGCAGCTCTGTGAGCTCTCCATGCTGAGGAATGTCAAAGCTTCCAGGAGTTTTGAAAGGGGAGGGATACATGACTGCATAGCTAGGTGCAGGGCAGCTGAGTTCAAAACAGTGAGCAGAGTGGTCACAGTTGGGATTGTGGGACACTGGGGGAGGCCAGTTATGGCGACATAACGAATGACAGTGTCTACACTGATGCTTTAACTTTGCTGTGAAAAGCTCTATGTCTCTTGTCGAGGTGGTTTTATTTTGCTGCCAAAAGCAGCTTTGTAGTGTATTTGTGTTGTTGGCAAAAGGTAGTGTAGATGAGGCCTCGTATTTGTGTAGTCCATATAAGTTATTTATTGGTTAAGAAGTTTCATTGTGGAAAAACTAAACTAACTAGGTAAGCAGCATTAAATCGTAAAGTTTGTCATCTGTAGAACTGTACATAGGTAAAAGCCTTTTAGTTTTTGCTTCAGAAGTGCTGAAAGCTCTCCCAAAATTAGGATCCTCAGACAGTTTTGAGATTATAAAATTAAACATATTATAGATGAAATGTTAATTCACACTTCACATTGCATTAAAGAAATGCACCAGCTACAGTATCTGATTAATCAGTTAAATAACTTACCCCACTTATTGGCCTGATAACTAAGTTTACCAGACCTAACTGAAAAATGCCTGTATCACTACAGCCCTAACAGTCATGCACACTTCAGTTAAAAAAAAAAAAAAAAAATACACAGCTGTGCACTGTTTATGTAATAAATCTAATCGTAACGTTGTTAATATGTTACAGATTTAATACATTTCTGTATCTGTTTTCTTCTCTCTCTGATGGTATAGTCCCTTTTATCCTTTTCTCTTATGTTCCTTACCATGTGTTCTCTACCTTCTATTTGCTGTTGTCCCTCAGATTTTTCACTCCTCTCTCTTCCATGTCAGTGTAAAAATCCCTTTTTCTCCCCCGTCCTTACTCACAGCCACTCAGATAGTTCCTCATCAGTTTATGCCCACCCTCTTATACATAAGGTTTAAAACCCACAGAAGACTAAACGACAATAAGGGGGTACGTTGTCTAGGGCAACAACTAGGTAAAAGTCAGGTAAAATTAAAGGCTGCTCTCACTCTCAACCCCTCTGTCTGCGGGTAGGAAGGAGTATAATCTCCCTGTTTAACCCACATAGATCCTCCTGGCTGCTGCAAGGGTGGCAGTGACAGTAGAGAGGGGTCTTGGCTAATCTACTCTTTCCCTGTCTTCTTTTTTTCAATCCTCTCATTATCTGCCTTTACTGCTTTTGCTCAGAAATTTCCTAAACATAAGTAGAGGGAAATTGATCTGATTCTTGAAAGTTTTACTGCTACCCATAAGGTTTCAGATAGGAGCAGTGAAATTGATCATAGTACTGTGTATGTCAATATGCAGTTTTTACCAAAGCTATGAGCAGCGGAACAGGCACTTGTGCAGTTTGTCTGCAGACTTAAGGCATTGCTGCATGGATTTACACTTGCTCCATGTTCGGAAACTTCTGTTTGCAACCGTAAGGGCTAGAAACTTACTTTAATTTCAGTGACAGCTTTGGGATCTCCAGAAGTTGATGGCACTTGCCCCCAATTTTTGGAAATTTTCCAAGACAAGTGGATATTTCAAGTGCTGTATATTACTATTATTACTGCATACATTCACAAAGTACTTATGACCATGTACTATTCTTTCTTTTTCAGGCACCAGAGGAAATCTTACGCCACCTGCAAAACATAGTAGACTTCGGAAAACACGTCATGAAACAGTTTTTTGGGGAGAAATATGTTCATTATGGGGTAATCATTTTATCCTTTAACTTACATAGTTTAAGTGCTTATCCGTTAGTCTTTTTAGAAACATTCTATAGGTAAAGTGATTTTGCTTGAAGCAAGGTATGCAGACCTTTTTGTGCGTGTTGTCCATATGAGATGCACAGCTTTGACCAGAGCTCATGTTCTGCACTACATTGTGATCAGATCATTAGATTTTGCCCCATGGATTGAGCCATTGAAGATGATCAGTTTGAAGTATTGGTGGGGGTGGGAGTGAAGCTTTCATGCCTCTAACTTGGTTCATATGTGGAAGCCTCAGCCATCTGAAGTGGCTATGTACCGTTTTGCCACAGATTTAGTGGGAGAGAGAAGAGATCTGGTTACAGCGGTTGCCCTGGATTACAGGGCAATGAGGGCTCTTGTTTCCTGGTGGGCCACATCAAGGTGGCTTCTTAAGACCTCAGACATGAGTAAGACACACAGGAGAGATTTGTGAAGAAAATTAAACCTCTCATTCTGGAATGTTGGTTGTTGAATTAAATATTTTTACCTATGTAAATCTTCCATTTCAGTTGTGAAAGGATAGCATTAATTGACCATCCTCAAGCACATGAGCTTGAGTTTAGAATACTCTACATCTTCATGTCCATAATTACATTAAAAGTGAAGTCCCATTCTGTTTCAATAAGTTTTTATGGCATAGAAGTTACATCCATGAGTTTTTATGGTACCAGACTCAACCTGGTGCTACCTGTTTTCACTGTTTTTTATACTGTGTCATGAATTACTGGGATTGTGGCACATCCAGCTCACTGAAATGAGACAGGGGTCCTGTTGAAAAAATAGTATATGATCATATGTGAAAAATGTGGGAGACAGCTGTATCTTGAACTAATAGTCTGTATCTCTTTCTGTATGATTACTATGATACTCTCTGCTACACTGGAGGCAAAGAGTTAACTCAGTCCTGGGAGGTTTTACACATTACTAGGAAGACAAACTGTGACTTGAATTCAATTGTTGATGCTCATAAAACATCTGTTTCTGAAGTGGGGGGCACTGCCTTTGGGTCAAACTGAGAGGCAGGGATGCAGTCTGCCTCACTGTCAGTCCAAATGCCTGAGGCATGAGGGGCCTACTTAAACTTGCAAGGAAAGATATAGGTTTTGGTAAGATAACATGTATAGGCATTTTTATTTAATTGTTTCCCTCTTTGCTCAAAACAAACTACCATTTATTTAACCAAACTGGTTACTGCATTTTCGTCCTGATCACAAATGCTGAAGGGAAGTCTACCACGGTGGCCATGACCCAACTGGGCCTGCTGAGGACATGGCTGGTGAGGAGGGGTGCTGTGAGCTTGCAATGTAGTCTAAAAGTGGGGTGAATTGGAGGGATTCCACTGTAAGAGAAGTACAGGCCTGTCCCTTGGAAAGGGTACCCGTAGGGTGATTGAGTGAGGGATTGGTGACTGAGTACACCCCTGTGTTCACATCCTAAACACGATTGTAATAATCTTGTACAAAATATGCTGTGTTATATATCATTTGAAAACTAGTAACTCACTGGTCAATAATATCATGGTGAAATTAACGTAGCAACATTACATGTAAAGTTATGAACATAAGCTGAAGTTATGACTGAAATGTGTTTATCAGACAAATCTGGGGAGGAGGCAGACCAGTGTCTCAAAGACAAAGGACAAGGCAACACCTCTAGCCAGGTGTCAGGAAAGTTGATTGGCAATCACTTTCAAGTGGCTATTCTTTGGCAGCAAAGGAGGGCAGAAACAGATGGCTTTGCATTTTAACAAACAGCAGCTTGGAACCTCTTTCACCTCAAGAGCCCATCTCTCTATCCTCACTGCTGGAAGGAACTTTATCTAGGGGTGACTCTCAGGAAAATGCATTTCAGAGGGTGACTGGACTATAAACAAGAGGGGTAAAAACACCCCAGGAATGCTCTCTCACTCTTTCACCTGAGAAGACAAAGGAAATAGTCCTTTGGGGGCTGATCCTGACTTAAAAAATTTGGTCAGCAGTGTTGCTGGGAACCTGTGGCAAGAATTTTACCTTGAACCAAGTCTAGTTTCTTTAGTTACTAGTTTTATCTTCCTTTCTCTTGTAACCATTTCTGACGTCAATGATTTATATTTGTACTCACTTAAAATCTGTCTTTGTAGTTAAACTTATTTTATTCTTTAATCAAAACGAATCCAGTGTTGTGTTTAAACTGAACTGTTTTAGCTGAAGTAGCAAACTGTTGTACATTGACCCCTTACAGGGGCTATGGACCTCTAATAACTGAACTGCCCAGGAGAGGGCTGGACAATGCGGAACACACTTTTTGGGGAAAATCCGGGACTGGGAGCATGTTGGGGGTCACCCTGAAAGTAGTAACCAAGGTTGGTGGAAGCTAATGTGTGGCTGGCAGGCGGCAGCTATACACAGACACTCAGGGTGTTACCTGCAGGCTGGAAGGCTGTTTGTGAGCTAAAGTCTTAGTTACCATGAGCCTAAAAATGCAAAGCTTAGAAGGACCAATTTAAAATCTCTAAAAAATATTAAATAGCCTTTCTAGACACAGTGACACAATTTTAATGTCTCTCATGACCTTCTGGAGCTATAAGTGAAAGCTGTATGTTCAATTCTGAAGGGAGAAAGCTTCCATTTCTATCCTGCTAGGGTTATGAGTTCTGTTACTGTTACATAGGTAAATAATATCCTTTCTGGACCTTGACACAACTTTTGTTGTCAGGAAATTCTATATTTGAGGGCAGAGGAAGGTAAAAACATTTTCTGGTAAGTTGATTTTAAAAAAACAAAACAAAACAAAACCCTGAAATTGCTTAGAATAAATTCCAGTGTAAGAGTATTAATGGTAGGGGGGAAAGTTTAGGTGAGGTAGGATAGTGTTGTGGTTAAGATACTTGACTGAGATTCAGGAGATATGGGATAATTCGTAAGTTGGCTATAGACTAAGTGTTCTTGAGCAATTCACTTAATCTTGCTGCACCTCAGTTCACGGTCTGTAAAATGCGGATGATACTTTCTACTTTACTAGGATATAATGAGGATAAATGTATTACCTTTTGCAAGGTGTTTAGATACTACAGTGACTGGAACCATAAAAATACCAAGATGGAAAAGGATATGATAAAATTACTTAAGACCTGATTCTTCAGTTAAGTCACTTGCATATCATTTCTATGTAAGGAGGGCATGGGGAGCGGCGCGGGTGGGAGAGAAGGGTTATTGCCTCTAAAGATTGGCATTGTCAACTTTATCTATGTTTATATGGATATAAATTTAGAAAAAATTGGCTTTAAACATCATTATTGTTCCACTGGCAGCTTTATGCCTTAGATAAATATAGAAGGAACTAGAACTACCTGTTTTCTTGGCTCTGTCTTGTGAGTAAGCTGCTCATTTTTGTAAAATAAAAGCTCAGTGAAGCTTGCAGTATAAATAGGGCACTAGTTTTACTTTTTATACTGTAGTAAAATCTTGCCTTTAATTAAAAAAGGCAGATTTGGAATATATCTATTGAACAACAAAACAAAAAGCTAAAACATTTAACACAGCTAGGACACAACAGGGACTAATAACTGTTGGCGTCTCTCATACCACATATAGCTAAATCAACTCACAATGGGGGCTGACTTCTGAACACTAGTAACATAAATACATTCCAAAATACAGTATTAAACTCTGCCCACTCCTCAAGTCTACCTTTAGTATAGCCCAGTCTCTCTTGATGTGGAAGAGGAGACACAAATGTAGTAAACCCTAAATCTAAACTGCCAAATTAGGGAAAATGTTGTATTTGAAACTTTGTGGAATTACAATTCAAGTGGACTGTGCAAATGGTTTTAACGCAACCATTTCAGTAAAATAAGAGAATACTATTATATTATGAGATGATGCACAAACTCCAGATTGTAGCCATTCATGCAAGAGAATTAGAGTACCCCTCTAATACTTATTAGCACAAGGTCAGAGATGCAATTTTCTTTTATTATAATTGAGATAATGCAATTATGAATGGAACCCTGCCCGACCCGCTGATACTTAATCTATCGTCTAATCTATCGTAATCTATCGTTTTTGACTTCAAACTTGTTTTTTAAGCATGGGCTGCCCAGCCTGTTTCCCAGTGTGGCATGTTGGAGGAAGGGGTCTCTTCTTCACCCAGCCCTGCCCTCTTTTTCTACAGAAGGATGGTTAATCTTCAAAATGTCTGGCTTCTTTTTGCTCTTTTTCTGGCTGATGAATTTAGCCTGGGAGAGCCTAATATTTTTAGACTTGTAATCCATTGCCTCTTTATTTCAATTCTTTGATAACTGAGTTGCTTCCATGAGTGAGGAGATCAGATCTAGTTACACTACAATCTAGAAGTTCCTGGGCTCTATTTGGTTGCTGTGCTAAATCCTTAAATACAAGAACTTTGCCAGTTTATAAGTATAAGTTTATAAGTACAAAGACAAACTGATTTGTTACTTTCAGAAAATGCATAATGTTCCTGTAGTGGCATGAAACTGACAAACTGGCGAAGGGCTTTTTCTGTGTCTCATGCCAGGATATGGTATTGCTTATCTGGTCTCCTCAGACACTCAGGGTAAGATGAAACTTGTACTGTTTTATAGGATTGAATAACAAACAAAACTCTCAACCAAACAAATGGCTTGTTATCAACTGAACTGCAGTGAACTTATGTAACGTTTTGACCCACTTCGTTGACACCCATCCAAAATTTTATGTATTTTTGTGTATTTCCATGTAACATTTTATTTTAAGATATTTCCTTTTAAAAGAACCTGTCTGTTAAAATATTAAAATTTTGTGTTTTAGGAAGTTGTTCAGCTACCTTTGGACTTTGTAAAACAGCTTTGTTTAAAGATCCAGTCTGAGAGGCCAGGTAAGGATCCCATTGCTATAATTAAGATTCTTGCATTCAACTATAAAATGTTCAGTTAAATTGCATGAGAAAAATTTTATTTCTAAAATCTGAGAAGGAAAAGTTTTTTGATAAGTTAAATATCATTTAATCATTGCTGTTGCCTAGTACTTAAAGGGACACTGTCAACTTGAAAATCAGACTGCTTGGAAATGTTGTATCTATTGTAACTAAATTACTATCCATGAAAAAAACACGAGGGAGAAATTGTTTGTTTGTTTAACATGTGCATTTGTAAGCACTTTGTGTAGACAGGTTTTTTTCTTTGCTGAAAAGACCTTTACAAATAGTAATGGGAACAGAAAACCCGTTTTCCATTTTTGTAATGGAATTAAAAAAAATGTGGACATTTAAAGGTAACTGTGCCTTGGAGTTGGTTAGTTTCAAAAATTGCAAGTAGATGTTTGTTTTCAATACTTTCGTTTGAGGCTAGACATTGATAATATCTTACGTAGTTTTGTTTCTGCTTTACTAGTGAAAAAGTATTTTATGTAAAATGAACCAGAATGTGGAAGTTGACTTGTATCTATTGTCACCCATAACTTGGCATTCATTTACTAAGAAGCTTGAGTTTTGAACCCTTTATCTGTAGTCTGCATGAAAACTGAATCATAAGTGTTGTTCAGCTTCCTTGTTTCCACAATGAAATAGTATGACGCTTGAGAAGTAGATTTTCCTAGAAAACTCATCATATGTCATATTCTAATCCCTACAGGGGAAAATTTAAAAAATATCCCACTTCTTACTGATTCCTCTTAGGCTCTTGGGTTTTGACTAGTGCAGTCCCCTGGGGAATGATATGATACTAAAGTCTATGTAAGATAAGACATTATACTTTATGGTGCCTTCAATCCAGAAGAACTGGAATTGCTTTACAGATTAAGTACAGGACTCTCTGTACTGTGTTGCTGAAATAGATCCACCACTGGGGGTGGAATACAAAGCACAGTTTAACAGTGCCAGTAATACTACACAATAGTATTAATTAGCCTGGGAAATGAATAATTTAACTGAAATTACAGGAGAAATGATGGTAGGCTGCATTAGTTACTAGAATTGGAATTTAGCCAGGATGATGGGATCTAATCCTCTCATTTCTAAGGGGGGTGCCCACACACTCAGAGCTCTCAGAATTTTCTTCAGAGTTCCTATCCTTGCACTGACTGATACTGTGGGCTTGTGGACTACTGGGGTAAGTTGACCTAAATTACGCTACTCCAGCTACATGAATAACGTAGCTGGAGTTGACGTAGTTTAGGTTGACTTATCCCAGTGTTTTCACTGTGCTGCGTTGACAGGAGATGCTCTCCGGTTGACTTACCTTACTCTTCTTGGGGAGCTGGAGTACCAGAGTCGACCGGAGAGCGCTCCGCTGTCGATTTAGCGGGTTTTCACTAGACCCGTTATATTGACACCATCTGCATCGATTGCAGCAGTGTCGATCTCTCTGGTAGTGAAGACAAGTCCTGAGTCTTAGTTATAAGACACTACCACATGCTATGGTTGTATGACAGCTTGATGAGGTCAAGTTCAAGTTGGGAAAGCAGTTTTGTTTTTAACAGGGAAATATTTCCAATCAAACCTCAATGGCTTTAGAAGTTTTTCATACAGTATATCTTTCTAAAAAGACCACCTAATTTAGGTGGGAATCACTGATGCTTGAGATTTATGGGTCAGTGTCCCCCATCTGGCATGAGGTTTCTACTCACAAGTCCTTCATATTAAAGCCAGTCAGAAAGGCAGTAGGTTTCCCTGGATATACAAGGCTTGCTTTTGACTCTCGCCCATCCCAGCTGAGTATGCAACATCTACTTGACTTGAAGCTAGCGATATTGCCATTTTTGACTTTTTTCAGTGTTCTGATGTATTTTAATGTACTCAAGTCTTCTTCAGTTTTCTTCTGATTGTGTATTTTTCCTTGTTATTACACCAGTATTTTCTTTTTGATCTGCTTGCAACAAACCTTCAAACAATTTAGTGTTTGTTCATTAGATTAAAGTAATTAAGCTAATCTTTGTAGAATTTACTCCTTTGTCATCCTTCCCCCTCCTTAAAGCAAAGGATTTTTGTAGTTTTTGTTGAAAGCTGTATTTCAGTGGCTGTGCTTTCAGTTGGAAGAATCATAGGACTGGAAGGGACCTCAAGAGGTCGTCTAGTCCAGTCCCCTGCACTCATGGCAGGACTAAGTATTATCTAGACCAGTGGTCTCCACAGGGCCGCCCAGAGGATTCAGGGGACCTGGGGTCTTCGGCGGCAGGGGGCCCCCGCCGCTGAATTGCCGCCGAAGACCCGGCACTTCGGTGGTGGGTCCCGGGCCGGAAGGACCCCCCCCCGCTGCCGAACTGTCGCCGAAGACCTGGAGCAGAAGAAGCTTGGGGGGTTCGGGCCCCACGAGAGTTTTCCGGGGCCCCTGGAGCGAGTGAAGGACCCCGTTCCAGGGCCCCCGAAAAACTCTCGTGGGGGCCCCTGTGGGGCCCGGGGCTTGGGGCAAATTGCCCCACTTGTCTCCTCGCCCCCCCCCCCCCCCGGGCGGCCCTGGGTCTCCAATCTTTTTACGCCCAAGATCACTTTTTGAATCTAAGGGCAACCCAGGATCTACCCCACCCCTTCCCCGAGGCCCTTCCCCTTCCCCAAAGCCCCGCCCGGCTCGCTGTCCCCTACCCTCACTCACTTTCACTGGGCTGGGGCAGGGGTTTGGGGTTTGGGAGGGGGTGCGGGCTCTGGGCTGGGGCCGAGGGATTTGCAGTGTGGGAGGGGGCTCTGGGCTGAGCCTGGGGCACAGGGTTCGGGTGCAATGTGCGGGCTCTGGGCTGGGGCAGAGTGTTGGGGTGCAGGCTCTGGAGGGGGGGTCAGGGCTGGAGCGGAGTGTTGAGGTGCAGGAAGGGGTTTGGGGTGCTAGTCTGGGAGGGGGCTCAGGGTGGGGTTTGGGGTGCAGGAGGGGATATGGAGTACTGGCTCCAGGAGGGGGCACAGGGATAAGGGTTAGGGTGCAGCCTCCCACTGCGCAGCACTTACTTCTGGCGGCTCCTGGTCGGCGGTGGGCGCAGTGAGGCTAAGGCAGGGTCCCTGCCTACCCTGGCCCCACACCGCTCCTGGAAGGGTCCAATGCGCCCCTGCAGCCCCTGGGGGAGGTGGTGGGGGGCCCATGGCTCTGCGCGCTGCCCCTCTCTGCAAGAATTGCCCCTACAGCTCTCCCGGCCAATGGGAGCTGTGGAGGCGGTGCTTGCAAGCAGGAGCAGCACGCAGAGGGAGATCCCTGGCCGCTTCCGTGAGCGGGCGTGGGGCCGGGGTAGGCAGGGAGTCTGCCTCAGCGGCAGCCACACTGCACCGCTAGAGATCACAATCGACTTGCCCAGTCGATCATGATCGACCGGTTGGTGACCACTCAGCTAGACCATTCCTGACAGGTGTTTGTCTAACCTGCTCTTAAAAATCTCTAATGATGGAGATTCGACAACCTGCCTAGGCAATTTATTCCAGTGCTTAACCACCCTGACAGTTAAGAAGTTTTTCCTAATGTCCAACCTAAACTTCCCTTGCTGCAATTAAAGCCCATTGCTTCTTGTCCTATCCTCAGAGGTTAAGGCCACCTTTTTGCTGCGGTTGTTTTCTGTGGACTCTCAGCCTGGACTTCAGGAAGTTTCTGCTGCTTTGGAGAGGGCTTCTGTAGGAATTTACTGTTTGTTTTGGAAGCGTGATGTCCGTGTGAATCCTACTATAGGTGCACGTGTGCAACATGCATGTGAGATCATAGTATTTTGGATGGTTATATCCATCAGGACAGCGCATGTCCCTTCTGCCTCCTCATTCGCATTCAAAAGCATTCTCCCTCGACCCTCCATTTGATCACTCCTTCTGCCTATGGCAGCAAGACAGAACCTAATAAGTATCTGACCTGCTATTCTTTAGTTACAGTGAAATTATTCAGCATTCTCTACTAGCTGTACGAAACTACAACAAAAGGAACTCAACCCATCTGAATTGATTTCTGATGGTCGGATGCTCCTGTATGGGGTGGCACAACCTCAGCTGCCCCTGGCAGACTGAGTATTCGAGCTTCAAACCCTGGTACTGAGAGTGCCATAATCTCAGTGCTGCCCTCACAAGAAATCTGTTCCTTCTCATCATCACCAGGACATACCTACCTCTATTCCCCATACTTTGTTTATCCCAAAAAGAAAGGGAGCGGGGAGAGCTTCATCCTCTCCTAGAGCTGAGGGGACTCAACAAGTATATGTGCCATCTCAAGTTGTGGATGGTAACGTTTGCCTCAATCTTTCCATCTCTTCAGGCTAAAGACTGGTTCATGGTTCTCAACTTGCAGATCCATGCTTCCATGTACCCATGCTTCCTGATCACAGGAAGTACATCAGATTCACATTGGGTCTAACCAATACCAGTACACTGCCATTCAGACTCCTTACAGCACCAAGAGTCTTCATGAAATGTCTAACGGTGGTAGCAGCACATTCAGAGACAGGGCATCCATGTCTGTCCGTATTTAGATGATTGGCTGATCAGAGGCAAGTCCCAGAAGGAGACTGCAACAGCCCTAGAGTGTGTGCTCTCATTGTTCACCCAGCTAAGCTTCCTTGTGAACTAAGAGAAAATATCTCAACCCATTACAGATGATATAGTTCACAGGGGCTATGATCAGCTCTCAACTGGCAAAAGTCTGTCTCCCCGAGGACGTGTTCCAGTCCAGTTGATAATAGATTACCCAAAGGCAAGTCCAGTTAAGATGGTACTTACTTATCCCAGGACTACTAGGCTACATGTTGGTGTATATACGTGATGCCATTTGTCCAGCTTCACCTGTGGCTCCTATAACTTCATGTGGTGTCAGGACCTCAGCTGAAGAAGAGGGTCACAGTCTCAGCTCAAGCAAGAACCTAGTTGGTGGTTATACTTCAAGAATGCCTGAAAGGAAATTTGATTCTCTGTAATCTCTCTGACAGTGA